TAATAATATCATATGATCATGTATTTGATTTCCCACCGTATATTTGTATACGGCTTCCTATCATATATTTGAAGGTGAACGTTTTTTCCTTCTTTTATTTTTCATTGTGAATAAAACGAAGTTTATTATTTGTTAAAAAAAAAATTTCTCATTTGAAAACATATTTGTGTGTGATTGTTTTGAACCGATTTATTCTACGAACACATTAATTTATTAGAGATAATCCAGTACAATTACTATTGTACCCAATTATCTACCAATGAATTAATTTGATTAGAAATGAGAAAAAGACTTATCACAACTTTAGATTATCACTGCATTAATTCACCCATAACAGTAGGAGGAAGTTATATATCACAGTCGTTAGAGAAAACAACTTTTCATGTTATTTTTATAGAATATAATATGAAATGTTAAACTTGCTCACAATGTTTCTCTAATAACCTTAGCTTAAGCAGTAAATATGAATTAACAGCCTGATTCTTTAATATCTTCATACTTCCTCAGTATTATTCGCGAGTATATATATGTAACCATAAATTCTCTACCTTACTATCATATGTAATAACTCGGCAATTAGAAGAAAATTATGTATCTTAATATTGAACTGATTTTATCGATAGCACTAAATTTATTACGGTCGAATTTTTTTGCTTCAAAGCATATTGAGTGAAGACAGTTTTTTCATAGAATTTTTAAACAAAAAAATTTTAACTCCTTTCAAATCTTTTTTTGACAAAAGTTCCTTTCTTTTTTTTCAAGATTTAAAATATTTAAAATTTAAGAAATTGCAGTAAACATTGAAAAGGAGAAAGAAAGTTATGTGTTGTTTTAAATATATTAGCTATTATACATTGTGGTTTCAATTATTCAATTCCCAAATCAAAAGTTTTACGCTTTTTAAATTCAGTTTTTTCTCTACGTTTGTTTTAATTTTAATTCCTTCTATTAAGCTTTTTCTTTTTTCTCAGAATTTTTCGCCACATAATCTTTTCACTTCATTTCTTTTCAACACTCATCATGATTCTTCCTAAAACTTTCGAAACTTTTTTCGTTTATTCTCTCTTCCTCTCTCCTTCTCTCTCTATTATTTTTTAACCACCTTCTTCCTGCATATTTCTAAAACATAAATCCATTCATCTTTTTTTATTCATTTCTAAATTTTATTCAATTCCTTTCTTTGTAAGTTACTCCCTAAACTATACTTATCCATCGAATGCAAAGTTAATCTTCGCCAATGGCATTCACAAGCCTTTTAAGGCTTTTCTTTTATCCATTCTTATTATGAAATAATCAACTTCTTTGCTTTCCCACGGGATATGTTGTTTGACTTTGGCTAAACGATGGATGTATTATTGTTTCCACATATTATAATTGATAGATTCCCTTCTTTTCTCCCTTCGGACGAAGAAACCGTTTAAAACGATCAAAACTATTATTGTTCATCTTGGGTGATTTATCTACATATCAAATCCCGTAGGGCATTAAGGCCTATTCGTTTCATCCTGAAAATTTCCTTCCATAAATTATCGTATTTTTGAGAAAATTTCAGATGCAATTTTCTAATTATTATGACTATCATTGGCAATTATCATTAACATCAATAATTATACGATCACATTGGTTAAATGATAGATACATATGCATATATTGATATACATAGCAGCAATATTATATTATATTATTGCTAGCATAAAATTTAAAGCTGATAAAAAAATCATATTTAATCCGGATGCAATTATGAAATCTTTAGCTCGGTGAACTGCAGAAAAGAATTTAACTTGATAATCACAACTTATAATTTGTCAACAATTTAAACAACTGAAATGAGTTGCTACTGGATGACAATAATACTGGAAATGTAAATGAGACAAATTGATGTCTAATTATTTAAATACAGATACTTGTCTAATTATTTAGATTTATAAGTAATGAAGAAAAGAGTATTATTCTAAAAAGAAATACTTGAATGCGTAAATATAACACTCAACTACTACTAAGCATACAAAAAAGAAAAAAAAGATTTCAAAATATTAAAAGAAGTATAAAATTTATAATTGATATCAGAGCAAGCCATATATGTAAACTATTTTGGTATTATATCTGTTCGATTATAACTTGTCCATATTTCGATTTATTGTCATCAATTACACATCGAAATATGTTATATAATAAATAAACACAATTTTCACGGTACTCATTGCATTATAAAAATACCACATACCATTCGTTTCTCTTTTATCTTAAGGTGTTATTTTATTTCTTGCATACTGTAGTTTGATATCATGATAATCTTTCAGTCCTTATCGTATTAGATTGAATTATGCAAGCGGTACTGTCTGCATAACTATCTTCTTCCCATTATCTTATTAAATGTATAATTTAACTCATATGAATCATCCATACCATCGCCCTACTTTCTTTTTTTCTGATAATTATTTGTATCAGAAAATGATTGAAAACTCATATTCATTATTAAAATTTTATGCCAAATAATCAAGTGAAACTTGCATTGCAAATCATTTCCCATATTTGGATTTCCGTGGGTATTTCACGCAAAAACTGCTTATTACATACTATTGCGTTGTGAATGTTGTGCGTGTGTCCGTGGTGTATGCGTTGGGTGCGTGCTTCACTTCTTCATATCTGAGTGAATGATTGAAGCATTTAGAACGAAGTGTATGTACTCGATTAATGTGAAAGATTTATCATTTGCATGTGTCTGTCAATTCATTGTTGGATGAATGGAAGAGTGAAGAGTTCCTCAAAAGTAATTTTATTGCGTAATTTCCCCTAAACTGCTATCTTTTTTTCCATAAACCTCATCAAACATTTGTTGAATTTTTATTGCAAACGATGATAACGATAGTGTTAATTTCAATAAGCACAATAACAATAATGATAGTGATGATCGATGATTATAATAATGTTGAGATGGTGGTGATAACAAAACAACAACAACAAAACAACAACAACAAAACAACAA